TAAGCTTATATTTTATATTTTTTTTTCCCTTTCTTTTTTTATTTCTTCACGTTAAACCTTTATTTTTTTCTACGGATCTTTTTTTATTTTTTTTTTTCTTTATTTATAAAATTCGATCATGAAATCTCGAGAGGCACTACTAAGCTTGGCAACCTTGGAAATCATTATTCCAAGTGGAATTCCAAATTTTACTGAAGAAAATATCGATACTTTATTAAACAAAAAGTCTAGGGCTATAGCGTTTTATGGTAAGAATCTCTCATTCATTCTTCATTACTATAAATTACTTTTATCAATATTTTAAAAAGTTTCAAAAAATCAAAAAATTTTTTTAAAAAAAAGATGAACTTCTTCGTTTTTATCTATCGATCTATCTTTCCCATGATTCCGGTATATCGGATCTATTTTCTGCAAAAGCGTTTTTCCAACAATTAGAGTTAAATGTTGAGGCTTCTATGGTTGATGCGAGCAATTTATCTGTACCTTCTCCTTCTACTCAATCTATATATCGTCATCCTCCGGGAAAATCGCGTTCAAGTTCTGCGACTACTTCTCCTTCAATACCTGGAACTCCTATTTGCTCTTCCGTCTACAAAAGTTTAAGTAAACCATCTGAAGGAACTATCATTTATTCAAACACTTATAATATGAGTTTGGATGATCGAGGTATGGTAGTTACGAAGCGTAAAGGTTGTTGGATTTGTGTTATTCCATTAACTGCTCCTATAGGTTAGTACAATACGTATTCATACGTATTCGCGTTTTGTTATTCTAATTATGTCATAATTATATTCCTAATATATTCTTAATTGTGTCTAATCTAATTATGTCCTAATTACATTCAGTCTTTGCTCAAACACGCGCTCACAGTCCGGCATTATCATTAAGTGTAACACCATCATTGTTACCTTTGATCGACGAAGTTTCAAAACAAGTAATAATATCTCCTCGATCTGAATTGTATGCTGCGCATCATTTCGGCAAGATGAATTTATTAGCTGGCCTAAATGATGGTTAGTTATATAAACCTATTATTGTTATATAAACTTATTATTATTATTGTTATATTATTATTATTATTATTATTATATTTTTTCTAGGATCTTTATTAATCTTATTAATATTATTAAATAATTTTTCGTTAATTATTTAAGATCCTGCATTTGAAGATTCTCCTGCATTATGTAGAATACAATATGCTAATTTACCGGGAATATGTAATGAACCAAAACGAAGTATATATCCGGCTGTGCAACCCGTGAAACGTAATTGTCGAAAAATGTTGAATGTTAAAACCGCGTTAAATGTACAATTAAGAACCACTAATGTATCTTCATCGGAAAATACCATATTGGTTTCTGTTGTATTGGCAAATAATAATGTCGAAAATACTGGTTCATTTATTGTGGACTCGATAAAAATGAATATTCCTCATGGCTTCGTAACGAAGTACGAATGGATGCATAAAAATGAGGCTGTGGTATGTATTCATTAATATTAAATATTAAATATTAAATAATAATATAATATAATAATGTAATATAATATAATATTAATAATAATGTAATATAATAATAATGTAATATAATAGTCATAATAATCTAATACTAATAATGATTATTATGAGTTATTAGTATTATATATTATTATTGTATTATTATATTTCAAATGATTTATTTATTAATATTAATATGAATTACCGTTACCAAGATTAATACGAGGATTAATACTAAGTGAATTTTATTTTATCATAGGATGAATTCCCAATGACATTACATCCAGTTGATCAGGCCACATTTCTTTATTATGTCACAATACTCGAAAAACCTCCTTTACCTAAAACGGACCCACCGCAGCACTGTCCTACTCCAAGTCCAAATTCTTGCGTATCATCACGTCGAAATTCCGTTGCTTCCATTTTTTCAAATACCTCATTCGATCCACCACCCTCTCCTGAAGAAGATCAACAACGTCCCCTTTCAGTAATAATAAAAGGCTCTCCCATATTCGAGGGTGAGAAATTGCCATGTATAGAATCTGAATGGAACTGCTTACTAGATTTATCTAGTTTACTAAACCATGATGACTCAATGTCTCCTAATAAATTAAATCGATCAAATCAACGAACATTATCATTAACTTCTAAATTTAGAAGTCCTTCTTCTGCTTCTTCTTTATCTTCAAGAAGCTCTTTGTATTTGCCAACGGGCATTACTACTCCTACCGTTACAAGGTGTTTCTATTCCGCAATGATGACCGGTTATATAAATAAACAAATAAGTATTATTCAAGATAATGATTCTTTATATAGTATTAATGGTATACTCTCCGGTGGAAGAACTCCAATGATACTGAACCCTACGGGTTCAAATATTGAAAATAGTGTCGTTATGTCTTTTTTTGGTTCGTTAAATTTATTTAATTTATTTTTATCTCTATTCATTTATTTCTATTCATTCATTTCTAATTTATCCATTTCTAATTCATCCATTTCTAATTCATGTTTCTTCTTTTAGTAAATACAAACATAGTGGTTGGTCAGGTGTTTACGATACAAGTTCATGTTGTAAACAAGTCTTCCCATGTTCAAAACTTGGCGATAATGGTTCCTAATAAAAAGAGACCTAATGAATCGTATGATATCTTATGATATTTGTTTTATATATTTATATCTATATATATTTGGTTAGGTTTATTTCCTTACTTAATCATATTATTTATTATTATTCTAATAGTGCATTCAGAATATTATCTCCTGTATCAATATCGTCATCTTCAAAATCATCAAAGTCGTCAAGTATAGGTCATACTGACATTATAATACATGGTAATCCGCCAAGCCAGATTGAGCCTTTTATGGAAGAAACAGGTATGATGTATATACATCTACCGCTACTGTATATTTTTTTCTCAATGACTAATTTAATGACTAATAATTCAATGTATAATTAATAGAATTCCTAAAAAAATACTTTGATGTTGAAACACCTGATGCAGACATAGTTTGTCTAGAAAATAATGTTCGAGTAGGGTAAGTTAATTCTCGTAATAATAATTCTCGTAAATATTGTAAATTGTAATTAATGTAAATAATAATTAAATATATATATATATTTTTTTTATTTTAGTCCTTTAAATCCTTCGTCCTCTGAATATGTAACATTACATTTTATAGCAGTAAAAGAATCTCTGCATGTAGTAGAACTGATACAAGTGGTAAATACTGATACAGGATTCATGACTAATCTAAGAAACGTTTTGGAAATATTAGTTTCAAAAGACTTACCACCTAAAAACGATAATAAATTTTCCGATTTGATAATGAAGAAACAAGTAATAATTGCTGAGTAGAAACTACTTAATTTTGATAAAAAACGAATAATTATTTTAATATCGATTGTTAAAAAAAAACAAAAAAAAAGAAACACAAACAAAACTATCGTTATATATATATATGTAATTTTTTTTCGTAAACAAATTCGTAATCGTAATTCGTTGTTTTTTTTTTTTTTTTTCTTTTCTCTTTTTTTTTTTATTTTTATTTTTTTTTAAGAGATTAATGCAAAAAAATATATATCGATATATATACTTGTAATAATTAGAATTGGCAGATCGGATATATGAAAATTAATGGCTAAATAATTAGTTTAGTTAAATAATTAGTTGGCAAAATTATATCATTATGAATTTTAATCGTTATTATATTGAAGATGAATTGGAAAAAAAAATATGTATATTATAAACTTTATAAAATCGAAAAAAAAAACTAAATCATTAATTTTTTTATCATTGATAATTGTAACAAGTACATATATGTATTATATGTACAGTATCTTGCATTGTGTTTTTAAAAATTAAAAATAAATTTCAAGTTCATCAAAAGTTGACAATTATTCAAAAGTTTATAATCCATTAGTTACCATCCTTGATAGGTGAATGTCGAAACTTTGTTCTGATCAAAAGTTTTGGACTTCGTCTATAACTTGTGAAACCATAACGGTAAAGTGACACCGAATTCCAAAGTTGATACGTACGTACGTACGTACGTACAGTACGTACATATCAAATCGATACCCAAGTTCTACGTAACCCTATCGCTATTTATTGCCAAAATCCTAAACTGATTTTTTCAAAGTTTAAAATAATAATATTAAAAAATCAATCTCTCAAATCCAAAATTGATACGTACCAAAATTTCAAACTAAAATTCTAAACGCTTTTAAAATCTCTTCTTTGTATATGTATTATAAATTTATAGTAAAACGAAACTGTAACAGAATCAAGAAAAAGCCTACTAAGCTTGATACTATTAAAAAAACTATATAGTTAGATTTATAAACTAATTACAAAATTAAATCTAAAGCAAAAAATAATCAAAATAATAGTACTTTTTTTTTTTACTAAAAATAACTTTTCTCAATTTTTTTAAAAAATATTTAAATAGACAATAATCAAAAATAATAAGATTTGAGTTTTATAGTTTAGTGGTTAAGTTTTTCAAACCCTTACAAATAAGGTGGCACTGATCCCGACCCTAACGCACTTCCAAAAAAATTGGATGCAAAAAAACATATCCTAGAAATCGCCCTTGACGAAGAGGTAATAACGCCACCTTGAGTTGATGAATCAACTGCCAGCCAAGCCCGCTCTGACCCCCGACGAAATCGAAATGCTAAAGCTGGTCCACACGCCCATCAACAAAAACCTGCTCCACCATTTCGACCCACTCCAGCAGGGCCCATGTCAATACGCCAATGCCCAAGAGACACACATAGCCCCTGACTTATGCCCAACCCACCTCCCACCCGTGAGTGGGGAATATCCCGACAACCTCTTCACCATCCAACAGCAAACAGCATTTGAAAAAGAAAGGTTCGTCCCGGAATTGGCTGGACTGACGACTCAAAGCCTTTCACCTCACTTTTTTCACGTCACAAAGCGACTGACTCCGCTACCTATTGATGTACAATCAGGGAGCGCCTGAACTTCATGCCCCCACATGCAACATCCAGAAACTGACCGACATCTCAATGAAAGTGTTAGGCTCACTGCTCTTCGAGTCATTCACCAAAGCTGTCAACCTACGTTACCCCATTCCCTGGGATGAGGCACTTTTATCAGCAAGATCGATGAGAACACCCGCAAGAGGCTCCGCAAACCTCTTAGCACTCTCATGAACATAACCGAACGTGGAGAAACCTACTGGCAAGACAACCTTGCTAACATATTTCTCAAAAGCCAGCTTCTTAAAAAACTTGAGAAAATGGGCTTTCCAGCAAAGGCAGGACAGTCCTTCGCCTCACTCCATGAGTCAGCGATCTACTGTTAACACTAATTAAGTACCATGTGATATTAAACTACCCCAAGAGCAGCAAAAGTATCGATTTTGATAGATCTACGGTAGCTTTTTTGATAGATCTACAACACATCCTAAATCTATGTTACGT